AACCGGCGTCATCATAGAGTCAAAAAGACCAGATGTGGGAGAGGACGCAGGTGTCTAGCACATCGCAAACTCGACTTAACGTACGTCACCAGATTGGTAACCAACACCAAAAGGGTAGCAGGCACGGCCGAAGCCGCACTTAGGCGTGCCGTCACGCCTGGTTCGGATCCCACTGAGTGAGAGTGACACAGAGTCGACATCAAGGCATTGCAGCCTGACTCCTAGTCCACCAACCGGCTACTCCGCACAAACACACACTGGGCTGACTGTGCGGTCAGAATTACCCTGTCAGTTGATAGCTTTCCAAGCCAATGCTTTCGGGGGCCGTGAAAAATTTAAGATCTTCAGATTGTTTATAATGGGCGATTTGCGCTGATGCCGTCCACCTCATTCGCTTCTCCTACTCTCGGACACCAGTCCGCTGCCCAATCACTCTGCAGTCTGTTGCAGGGAGTGTTGGCGCAGTGGGTGACAGGGTTATATGGCCCGTCTGCTCACCTCAAGCATACAATCTTGCCCCAAACGCACACACCAGGGTTGAGCACGATGCATGTGGGGGGCTCGGATCACGCATCTGCTAATGTGCTTCTAAGGAGAAGTCATCACAGTCTGACTTTCTGCTCATCAGTCAGCAATGTGACGCACAGACACACGCTGGGCTGACTGCATGGCCTAAGCTGGAATGTCAGCTGGCAAGCTTCCGACTTTCCTTATCCACCAGATGGTAATACAGAGTCAAGACGACCAGACACGGGTTTAGGTACAGTGGCTAACACGGTTAAATATTCAGTCAACGTGCACCACACGGCCTGCTCCCCGCAAACACGTGCTTTGTTCTTTAAGGAAAAAAGGACGGCTCGGATCTCAAGTTGTAACGAGGCACTAGGAGGTAGTCATTGATCCTAACTCCCAATCCTCGAGCCGGTCACAACAAATTAACACCATAAAGACGAAGAGGACCAAGGTAACCTGTCAGTTGGTAACTTTCCAGGTCACTATTTTTATCTCAGTGTGATAGCTCAAAAACTCGTGGGATTTATTATACCGAAGAATGTGGTGAAGTTCCGTGGGGATGGAATCTTCAGAGTAAAACTCATTCTCTCCTCCCTCCTCAGTATACCAGTCTAGACCCTGGCATACATCTGGTACTGGAACTGGGCGCGGTAGCTGACAAGGCCAAAGAAGCCCGTCTACCTATGGTTAACTCGGCCTGGTCGGGCTCCAGGTTGCATTAAAGAACATTCTGTCTACTAACGTACGTTCAGCATTTCCTGTTTGGGTATCGGATGATGTGGTACTGGTTTGTGGTTGACCTGATGAGGTGTGCTTATGAGGTTTGTCTTGAAGCGTCTTACTACATTCGGTTGCAATCATACATCAAACAGGCTACAGCGGTAAACTTACATTTATTTAATTTAAATTTTATTTAATGCCAGTTTACAGGCATTGTCAAGGGAAGCAATTAAACACAAATCCGACCAGCAGTGAAAAAAACTCCTGAGCTAAAGCGATAAAAATATAGTTGATGGTGGTTTTTATGGTTTGGAGGGCTCAGGAGAAAAAACTGCCGGCGGTGGTGGAATATCGACCGTCAAGAAGGGGGAGGGTTGCACGGTATCAAAGATTATCGGAAGTCAAATTCCTTTCATGAAGTTGGGTATAGTCAAAGTAGAGGCGTTGAGGAACAGCTGGTGAGACCGGCCGTAATGTTCAGTGACCACAAACGCCATCGCTACGGTACAGTCGATCAGTAGATTCAGCACCCAAAATTTGTGGGAGCTTTTCTGAATGCAAAAATCGAGTAATAGTTCTCTTAAATAAAGGATAATTTTGCAGAGTTTTCACACTCATGGGTAGTTTATTCCAAATAGCAATTGCATTTACAGAAAAGAACAGGCGATATTTAACAGTACGTGCCAGAGGAAGGAATAAAAAGACCTCACGGTGACTGTTACGTCGTGGGTGGATATGATGTCTTAAAGAGGTGAGCGGGTTAAATGTGTGATTATATAAGAGTTTAAATAGCAAAAATAGTCCCTTTTGTAATCTACGGAACCATAAAGGATCGAGGCCTGTAAGCCGGCAACGTTCTTGGTAAGACAAATGTCGGTGTTCTGGGGTTAAAATTCTCTTGGTGAAAAAGTGTTGAACGGATTCGATTTTCTTCCGCTCAGTAGCACGCATGAGGCTAAATGAAAACGAACAGTATTCCAGACCAGGTCGAACGTACATGTTGAAAAGGCGCATTCTAATGTCCCTAGTTTTAAAATTTCGGAGGATAAACCCGGTCGTTCTACGTGCTTTGGAGACTATCAAGGCACAGTGCTCCGAGAGATTGAGACTCTTGGAGTATGAAACGCCCAATCCTTTATAACCCCTGCTATATTTATGGCGTGACCTTCAATACTTAGTTGAGGTTGGCGGTCGTCGCCAACCAACATGACTGAGCACTTATGCCAAGAAAGAAAAAGGCACCATGTGCGGCACCACAGGGCGAAAGCCTGTAGATCGCTCTTTAGGAGCTCAAGCACGATGTCATGATCTGCCGG